TGTTCACATAGTTTGTTCTGTTCGGCACCATTTGGTTTCACTTTGCTGCTTCACCTCCAGTTCAGGATCAGAGCTCAGAGAGGTGAGGCTACATCTGGGTTAGCCATTAGCTCAGCTGGTGTGTGTGTGTGTGTAGTGATTGTGTATGAGGGGTTTTTAAAGAAAACAAACTTTTCCTTTGGGTGTCAGGATAATAACAAAGCAATTACAGGAAGGAACTGCAGAGGAAGATTAATTGTGTTCTTGAGCTTTTTGTAATTCCTTTGTGAGTTTAGTTCATAAATTCTATTAAAGTGAATTCCTGTGGTGATTTAGATTGTCGAGGGGGTGCAGAGGAGTCTCCCTGCAGCACTTAAAATACCACTGAAGTTTGCAAAACATGGTCAGATTTGGTGCTAGTTGATGCTGAAAATTGATCACTTCCTCACTAATGAAATTAAACTGATTCTGTGATTGTTGATTGTTGGGTTACCTGTCACATACCTGGGGGTACCTGACCTGGTGCAGGTTATTATATTTGTCTCACAGTTGCAACACCTCTCTTGGAGCTTAAAAAATAACGTTTCACAAATTCATCCACATGCTGAGAAAGAAGGCTTAGGTTGAGAGGTTGTTAATAGACGTGGAAATTTCAGCCCGTTTCCCATCCTAAGAGCAGTTCACAATCAGCTACAGTCCAGACAGATTTCACCTTCAGATCCAGCTGTTTGTCTTCACCAAAGATTAGACTGAGCATCAGGACATAGACTGTGTTTAATTTCTGGGTATTTCACACATAACAGAATGATTAACAGTAATGGAAAAAGCAGTTACTGAGACATGACCCTTTCAAACTGTTTAAAATTCTCTTCAAATATAACCTCTGCTTTGTAACTGGCATCTAAAGAATTATAGTTGTGATATTTCGGTGGATATAAATATGTGATTCAGGGGGATTTTGGTATTTTAAACAGTCGAGGATGTGAATTGATATCCTGTTGCAGTGTGGTTTCTAATTATATCAGAACGTTCCAAATATTCCTGGAACATTGGAATAAATCCCTCGAGAGTATTTGCACTTGTTTCATGCAGGTGTTTGATTGATGGGAACACGGCATGAGGAATTCAAATAAATCCCTCCTGACCTCATCAGGCGTTTGGAGATGCTCCATCTGCGTTGTGTCAGAAAGAAGGAATGTAGATCTGAAAACTTACATCAATGCTGGACTTTGTTTAATGTTGTTGTCCCGCAGGTGTGTTACAGACGACAGCAGGTCTGCTGAGTGCAGGTCTGTGTTTAAAGGTTCGACCTGCTGATGTTGTTAAAACTGAGAGAAACTTGACAGTTGGCGGTTTAGAGGCGGCAAAACTCAGACTGAATTAAGATGTGGAGATCTTACCTTCAGCACTGATGTAAAAAAATAAATATAAGCAAAGTTAAATTCACAGTAAAACATCCTCAGATTTAAACTATTGTATATATCATTGTTTTTATTATGAATTAAGCTAATTTTTAGAAGAAGAAAATATTTTCTGTAATGTTTGACACTTTAATGGAGTGAAAAAAAAATAAAAATAAAAAAATAAATTAAAATATTTGTATTTGATTATAATTTAGACCAAAGATTTGCGCACTTCCATGATCTGATTTGTTGTGTGGTCAATTAGATCAGTTAAAAGCTGTAGAGACCTTGTTTTGATATATTGACAGTAATATTTCACGTGTTGTGGCTCAAACTGTCTTCTGCACCTCGATAGAAATATAACTAACCTCGGCTGCAGAACAGACCGACTGTGCTGTCCATATCTTCCAGCCGTCTACGTGTTGAGTTTACCGTGCTTCACTCAGGAAGCTGCTGGTCCGCAGCTAACGATCGGAACCAGGAAGTAGTGAATTTGGGTGGAAACTGTCCATTGAAAGTCATTTCCTAAAGCGCTTGAACAGAGCTGATCGCCATGCAGGGAGGAAAAGAGAAGAGGGATGGAGGGAGGGTGAGACGAAGGGTGAGAGAGCTACTGGATGCATGAGTGAGCATGTGAATTAAACTGAGAGAGAGAGAGAGAGAGAGAGAGAGAGAGAGAGAGAGGCTGAATGAATGGGTCTGATAGTAAAGGTGAGAGTTAGAAACACAATCAGCCTGTTAAAACACAATAAACAGACACGTTATCAGCACAGACCAGAGCGCAGTAACACACCTCCCACAGCAGAGAAACCCCTAAAATACCTCTCAAATAGAAACTCATTTTATTATAACAGAAGTTACAAATATTTTTAGCATGAGAACGACTTCAGTGACTGTAGACAAAATTAAATCGAGCATGGTTTTGCAGCTGTGTGGTTTATCTCTCACTGTAGTGAACCCCAGGCCACACTGATGTTTTCAAAAGTCTTTAATTATGTTCAGCTGTCATCCTTATTATTTGAGCATCATTGTGAACTTTTCCTTCTGAAACACCTTTTCTCCAGAGAACACCGTAAGAGCTACAAATCACACACAAATATATAAATAACTAGTCCATAGCCATTGGTAGCTTTGTCATTGGTCCACAGGGGGAGCCACAGCGATCGGTCGCATTTTAGCCATTTTGAAGCATTTTTCTGTTGTTATAGCGCCACCCAGTTGCCAATTAGAGTTAAATTTCTCCAGTCACCTTGAGGAGTCCTGTTCTACATATCTACCAAGTTTAGTAAAAATCCATATGGCGGTTAGGCCTAGATAACAAATGAGCTCTCTAGCGCCCCCATTCTGTTTGATGGGGTCAATAATGGAGGGGTCCCCTCAGATTATGTGTGGTCATATGCCTACAAAGTTGCGTGGTGATGGGTGAAACCCTTGAGATGTTATACACCTTTATGTGATGAGCCACGCCCTCCGCAATATTCATTGCCTTATAGAAGCTCAGTTTTAGTAAGTTTTCCAACTTTTGCCAAGAGGGAACTTTAGATATTGGTCCCTAGATTATGTTCACCCAGTTTCATGCAGATCGCTCAAACTTCCTAGGAAGAGATCCATTTGAAGTGTTTTTCAAAAAATTCAAAATGGCGGAAAATCTATATAAGTGGAAATTATGGGTTCTTGAGGCAAATGTGTTCCTCATGAGGAGAGGCATCTCTGTGCAAAGTTTCATGTCTCTACGACATACGGGGCATGAGATATGCCCATTCAAAGTTTGACATTTCAGTCGGTTGCTATAGCGCCCCCCTTTGGCCAACTGTAATATTGCTTCATTGGCATCCTCCCATGACCCTCTACCACTGTGCCAAATTTCACATGGATTGACCAAGTCAGTGAGGAGAAAAACGTGGAACAGACACACACACACACACACACACACGCACACACACACAGAGTTTTCGTCATCATATAGTAAAATAAACACCATATCAAATACATATATAAGCAGGGGGAGTGACGGTGAACTCCCAAACCACAGTGATACCATCACAGCCCTCATGGAGGCACATTCCTGTGGTGGGATCACCCAGGCTGCAGGTTGATCTCAGGTGTGAACAGGCACAAAATGTCTCAAATGATACCTGCATTTGATGCTTTTTGCACTCACTTCAAGAAAAATTTATTTGGGTTTGCTCCCAGCCAATCACTGCAAGCGTTATTCAATTTAATGCGACATGTGATTGGAGCTCTGTCCCAGCAGCTGCAGCCCTACAGTCTGTGGTATTATGATGTCCAGCACAGTGTGGTTTGGCAATGTTCAGTGTGCTGAGATGCCACCAAAATGTTTGCATTCACATGATATGGTGGTATCAGATGAAGAACTCTTACAGTATGTGTCACTTAAAGGCTGCTGTCAGACCTAGAGTCGTCTCCTTTGGTCTGAATCAGGGACTCATGTTGTTCCAAAGTTGTATAATTGCCGAGAGTTGGTTCGTGTTCTCACGGCAGCATTTACAAGAGGACCAGATCAAATGTCTTGTGTGAGAAAGCTGCTCTTGATTGGTCAGAATTTCCATGTGGGAAAAATCCAGGAAGTAAAGCAAACGTTGAAGAAGAGTACACTTGCAAGATAAATGTGACACTTTGTAATGTCACAATGGAGGGACAACTACGCAGGTTGATTTTAGCGCTGCTCATCGTGGACCGCACCAGAGTTCGTTTGTAGCCAGACCGAGACCACCTCTTCAGGAATGTCTAGGATAAATAGCAATATTTAAAGGTTGGTGTTTGTATGTTTGAGATAAAATCCAGCTACATATTCCATGCGTTTTCCTCAATAATAGAACGTGAAATTTAGTGGAGTTTGTAGGAATGTGACTGATGAGTATAGAAGGGAGTCGTCAGCAAAAGTGGAGAAAAATTAAGGGACAAGCTCTAATTTGATTCATCTCAGGTGACTATTTTAGAAAGTAGTTGCTGAAGGAATCAAACTGAAACCAGAGGAAAAACCTTTGTTAGGTGATTTTCTTGGATTTGTTTCCTTCCTTTTGATCACACTCGTCTCTCCCGTGACTCCAGTCTTCTGTGTTTGTCTCTCTTTGACCGATTAAGAGGACTCAGAGAGACGAGAGAATGGCGTTAAAGGGTTTTTCCTCTCTCCCCGCTGTGTCTTGGCCACACTCGGCAGGCCGCAGGTTTACACACTAATCCGATTAAAACGCCGGGGTGAAGCAGTCAGCCGCTGTCGATGAAGGAGAAAGATTAACTCTTTCATTGTTGGGGGGTCCATTTCCACTTTTCTCTTGACTCTCTGTCACGCTTCTCCGTTCTTTCTTTCTTTCTTTCTTTGTCTTTGAAGTGACAGCAGCAGAGGAATGTGAACTTCTGAGAAAAGTTCAAATGATGTTTTACCCAAAACACAATGGGCTGAGATAGCTACATACCATGGCATGTTTCAGCCTTTTGTGTCTGCAGTGTGTGTGTGTGTGTGTGTGTGTGTGTGTCTCAGTCAAAGTGTAAAAGCCACACATTGGGAGCTGATGTCAAATTAAAACTCCCATTCTAAGTAAAATGAGTTGTTTTCTTTACTCATACTCTTGTTGTTGTTGTTGTTGTTGTTTACAGGTTACAGTGCGACTGTCAGCACAACACCTGTGGCCTGTCTTGTGACCAGTGTTGCCCCGGATACAACCAGTTACCATGGAAACCAGCCACAACCTACAGCGCCAACGAGTGTGAACGTGAGTAGTGGTTCTGATACTTTGCCTTGACACACACACACTCAAGTGTACGAGGAAGACCTCGTGCTTGGTCTCTCTCTCTCTCACACACACACACACACACACACACACACACACACACACACACACACAGAGGTGAATCAGTGATCCCTGCAGAGGAATGTGTTTTCTTTGATGTGTTGGTTCAACAGAACGAGTTGGCCTTAAATTAACGAAGCTGAACAGACTCATGGGCCGCAGCGCTGCAGTTAGCTCTCACACATACATTTGAGCTGTGTGTCTGCTCACCCAGGAGTCCTTGAGGGAGGTCCAGGAGTTCCCCGGGAAAGAGGAGGATAGTTTATTTTCGTTGTTTAATTTACTGTATATAAGTGAATTAAATAGACGTCTGTTTTTTTAATTCACTGAGCTCTCAATCTCGAGTTTCGTGTTTTATTTCCAGGTGACTTTCCTGTTTTCTTATACTGCAGTAATTTATAATGTTGAAATGCTCTGCCTGCTTGTGGACTCGTGAAGAATGACTCAGTCTAAGTTCAGAATATTTTATTTAATGTTAGTGTTTATTTTAGGTCATGATCACAGGTTATTGACACATCGGCTACTTTGAAGTATTTCTTTCAGACTATCAGCTCAAAGCTTTGATCGTGTCTTAAAACAATCTCTGACTGTGTCCTGCGGCCGTCTGTCATTATCAAAGCTCTGGTTATATTTACACGTGAGAGCCGTCTGTTATCAAAGCTGCAGTTATATTTAACAATGAACAACAGTAGTATCACAATGGCAGAAAGGTCACCGAAGGGCAACTTGATATGAAACTACAGAGAGGAGGAGATGGAGGCATCAGCTGCAGTGCTGCGAGGTTGTTTTCAATATGTGACTTTAACTGGGATGAAACAGTTTAACTTTCCGCTAACTGCTAACAGCTAACAGCTAACTGCTAACTGTTGAGCGGAAGCTTCACAGCAAAAACATCGACACTTCCTGCTTGGGATGAGCCAGGTGCTTCAGAATAAAAGCTTTGGTTTATTTCATTATATTAATACTTAATCTAACTTTATCATAACATAACTTTATTCAACTTTATTTTAACAACATAATTTATTTACTTTATTATATCGTTACTTTAGTTAACTTTATTTTATCAGTTCGTTGTTTGACGTTATTTAACAGAACGTTCTTTAACTTTATTTTAACAGTACCTCATTTAACTTTGTTACAACAATACTTAAGTTAACATTTTTGTAACGGTTCTTTATTTAATTTGATAATAACAATACTAGAGTTAACTTTATTGCATCAGTACTTTATTTAACTTTATTTAACAGTACTTTACTTAACTTTATTATTACAGTGTTTTATTTAACTTTATTTTAACAATACTTTAGTTAACATTATTGTCACGGTTCTTTTTTTTAAACTTCATTTTAAAAGTACTTTATTTAACTTTATTTTTAACAATAGTTTATTGTGTCAGTACTTTATTTAACTTTATTATAAAAGTAGTTACTTTATTCAGCTTTATTGTAACTGCAGTTCATTTAATAATTTTAGTAGTCTGCAGTAGTTCAGAGGAGATTTCAAAATATCATGATATATATTGTGTATCGCGATATAGCCTAAAAATATTGCAACATTATGTTTTAGTGACGGTAATAACAGTACTTTATTTAACTTTATTTACAACAGTACTTAATTAAAATTAGAAAAAAATACAGTACTTTAACTTTATCGTAGCAGTACTTTATTTCAGTTTATTGTAATAATAGTTTGTTTAGCATTTATAGTAGTCAGCAGGAGTTAAGAGGAGATTTCAAAATATCACTATTTATTATTTATTTATTTATTTATTTACTGGCATTACAAAATAACCTACAAATATTGCGATCGTATTCACAGGTGATATCACCCAGCCCCATTTCAGCCTTTTTAAAGACAGTTGAAAGTAACCATTTATAAGAGAATATATAACCTGACTGAGACTCGTGGGGCAGAGTGGAACTCTAAGGACAGGACTTGTCTCTGTTTACAGGCCGAGTTATTCATGTCTGCTCAGTTTATCTCTGACTGACTGACTGACTCATTGCACTGAACGATGCCCAAAGGTCTTTTTTTGTGTCATGAAAAAGGGAAAATGTCAAATGTGCCTCAGGGTTGAGAAAAACACTCTGCGCTATCAGAGCTGGAGTCAGAGCTGCAGGATAAGGAGCGCTGGTTTCTTCAGCTGGCACCTCTCAGGCGCTGAGGGTCAGATAAGAACAAAAAGCTCTATCAGGGTTTCACTGACGCTGTACGAAGAGCAAACGTTGGTCTCGGTTGTACGTGTGTGTGTGTGTGTGTGTGTGTGTGTGTGTGCACTTCTCTTTCTTTATCCTGGAGTAACTTAAAGGATGTATGTAATCTGTGTGTGTACGTTCACAGTGATGAGGTCAAGTTTGGTGCGTTAGACTTCCACTCCTCTTTTTCATTTCATCAAAGCCAAAGGAATCAGTTACACAAGTTCTTTTCATGTCGTCTCCGCTGGTTGCCAGGTAACCTTATAGTTATGACTACAGTGAGTCACATGTCCAAGAAGCAGTCGAGTAGTAGTAGCTTTTACTCTTCAGTTTTTGACTTTGTGTTCTCTGTGAGCCAGGAGGAAGAGAGTGATGATGAGCCCAGAAATCTGAGCGTGGGTGTTTGTCTTGTCTTCTTCCTCTTCTTCTTCATCATCATTATCTTCTTCTTCTTCTTCCTCTTCTTCTTCATCATCTTCTTCATCATTATCTTCATTGTCTTCTTCTTCCTCTTCATCTTCATCATCATTATCATCTTCTTCGTCTTTATCATCATTATCATCTTCTTCTTCATCATTATCTTCTTCATCATCATAATTGTCATCTTCTTCTTTGTCTTCATCATCGTTATCTTCTTCTTCATCTTCCTCTTCTTCATCATCTTCTTCATCATTATCTTCATTGTCTTCTTCTTCTTCCTCTTCATCTTCATCATCATTATCATCTGCTTTGTCTTCATCATCATTATCATCTTCTTCTTCATCATCATCTTCTTCATCATCATCATTATCATCTGCTTCGTCTTCATCATCATTATCATCTTCTTCTTCATCATCATCTTCATCATCATAATTATCATCTTCTTCTTTGTCTTCATCATCATTATCAACTTCTTCCTCTTCATCTACATCATCACTATTATCTTCTTCTCCATCAGTGTCTTCATCTTCTTCACCATCATCGTTGTCTTCTTCTTCTTTGTCTTCCTCTTCTTCTTCCTCTTCTTTTCTGTCATGTTCTTCTACATCTTCATTATTTTCTTCTTCATCATTGTCCTCTTCATCATTATGGTCCTCTTCTGCTTCTTCTTCTTCCTCTTCTTCATGATCTTCTTCTTGTTTTTCTTCTTCATCATCATCATCTTCGTCTTCTTCTTCTTCTACTTCCATAGTGAAATGAACACCTAAACATTTGCAGGGTCATAAATAGCACAACAAAGTTTTTTCTTGACTCTGTGAATGAACAGATTAAAAAACTACTAAGAGTGGAAGATCATTAAAAGAGACTGCACCAGTCTTTGATCACCGACTGTGATCAGACATGAAATAATCTTTTTATGATTCATGAAACATCCCCAGCCTCCTTCTACACACTTGAGACAACAAAGAGCCTGATAAGTGACTTTCATCAGACGTCAGGAAATGATGAAGCCTGTGTGGTTGTGTTAATTACAGCTTCTCTCATTTCTCTCGTCTTTGATTTGTTTGGGAACAAGCTGAATATGATCCTCAGCAGAGTGTGTGATCACCTCAGTGAACACCTGTCGGAGGAAACAGGTTTCAAAACAACAACTCCATCTGAAGAGACTTCACAGAGCAGGATGACATGAATGTCTCAGGTCATTTCAGATCCAACATAAACTTGTCACCAAAGAAGAAATGAAGCATTTTGTGAGGCTGCAATATCTGCTGCTAATTAATGAAAAGTTATATAAGGCTGTACTGATCAGTAACTAAGTACTGACTAACTCTGTCCCTCTCGTCCTCGTCTTTATTCTCTTTCCTCCTGCTTCATGTCTCTCTGCTTGCAGCAGTTTTAACCCTCCAGGTGAACAGTCACAGTGTTTATTTCTCAACGCTTCATGTGTGTTTGTGAGCATCTGTGCAACCTGTGCATCTGTTTGTTTTTTAGTTGATTCACTCACTTGTAAAACGATCTATGAAGTTGGATCCTGTCTAGTTAATGATGTCATGTGAAACTGACTCTAATTTCTATAGTTTGTCCAATAATTATATTCTAACAAGAGTTTATTATTCCTCCTTTGTAATATCTTTTGACTGCCTCCACATATTGATTTTATATTAATTAGAAAATAAATAGATAGATAAATACTGGACATTAAAGACATTTCACCTGACAGGAATTATTTAAATCCCCTTGCTGCCAGCGGATGGGGGACTTTTTTACTATTTTTATTATTTATTTATTTTTTTTTTTCTTTTAATTATTAATATTAGTATTAGTTATAACAATTAAAATTTAGGATTAGTTTTTATATACTTCCTTCCCCTTTATTATTATTATTATTATTATTATCATGATCATTCTTCTTTTCATATTTATTATTTTATTTTATTTTATTTTATTTTTCCTCTCCGCCATCCTTTCAAGTGTCAAACTTGGAGATTATAGACACACAAACACAAACATGGCCTGTATTCACTTTTGAATTCACTCTTTTTGTTGTTTTGCTATTGTTTTGTATTGTCTTTAAATAAAATAAAAAGTAAAAAAACAAAAAAGATTGATTATGATAATAATAAATAACTCAGGATCCACACATTAGCTTTTTTCTGGAGCTTTTTGGCTGCATTTCATGGTCTTCATCAGCAGATAGGGTTTTCTCAGTTGTCATTGTCAACTTCTACACTCGACCTAATGTTTATTTCAGGTTGTTTTTTAATATTTTATCTTTTTTAAAATCATTTCAGTTCAAAATATTACTGATATTTCAGTTATTTTCAAACCGTCACTGTTCATTCACCTGCTGTCTGTGTTTGTGTTCCAGCGTGTAACTGTCACCGTCACTCGTTTGACTGTTACTACGACCCCGAGGTGGATCAGAAGAGAGGCAGCATCGACATCCACGGACACCACAGAGGTGGAGGAGTCTGCCTCAACTGTCAGGTAACCAACACTCTGCTTTATTCTGCTCTTCCTCAGTGAGCAGCTGTTATTGTCATCTTCTGCGTTTCACTTATAATGTCTTTATAGTCTTATATTTGTATCCTGTTACGGTTCCTTCAGTAACGAGAAGGTGTCCTGAAAAGTAAAATTAGAGGAGGACGTCAAAAACTTTGACTTAAAAGTTGGGAAATTTACATAATATACAGAACAAACATCTTTTTCGAACATCTGATTCCAATTATGAGGAGCTAACTAACGGGCAACTCTTTCCTTTCAGCATCACACCACTGGAGTCAACTGTGAGCGTTGCATCCCCACCTACTACAGGTCACCTGACCACACCATTGACTCCCCGCTGGCCTGCTCACGTGAGTGACCGCTGCCTGTCAGATAACATGATAACATGAACATCATTTATATCATATGGGTTTTCTTTTTGCTCTTTGTCTTATTGTCATCTTTTCTGTCTACGTGTCTCCTCCTCCTCTCCCTCCCTCTCTCTCTCTGCAGGCTGCAACTGTCAGTCAGAGTTCACTGACGGTACCTGTGAGGATCTGACCGGTCGCTGTTTCTGCAAACCAAACTACGCCGGAGAGAACTGTGATTCCTGCGCCAGCGGCTACATAAACTTCCCCGGCTGTTACCGTGAGTCGCAGCAACACAAACATAAAACTCATAAAACAGTGTGTGAGCTTTGGGGTTTTCTGTCCGAAGGAGCTGGACAAAGAATTTATATTCACCATGATTAGTGAAACCTCGTGTTTGAATATTTCCCTGGTTTCTGATCTCGCTCTTTCTGTCTCTGTGTCCATTAGCCATCGCCACCGATCCCACCGATCCAAACAACAACAACAATGGCGAGGCCAAAACGGCAGGAGAGATCATCAGTAAGACTCTTGTGTTCTTTATTTTTTGTTTTATATATTTGTGTGTTTTGTCCTATTTAAACATTAAGCTTTCGGCTCTCTTTTCTCAACCACTTCAGAGTCTTTAAGAACAAATGGCGTCAGTAAACGACACGTTGCACAGAGCAAATCAAGTTTATTTGCTAAGAGTCACTGTATGTGAAATACAAATAAAAGTAAATGTGAGGATGAATTTATTTTTGATGACTAAAACAAAGCCACAAATCTTTGATGAGAGAGGTCTTTGAGTCATACGTGTGCACACGAAATATTAGGCTGATTGGTCCAGTAGTTTGTGAGATTAGCTGCAGACAGACAGACAGACAGACAGACAGACAGACAGAATGACACTAGACCAAACACATGATCCTCGCAGGGCTTATTCGTGGCAGACATAATAAAGCATAAGCAATGGGTTCAGTTCAGAGAAAAGACTTTCCACAGAGGTTCCTCCCACTATTACAACATTTAGTATCATATAATGAAACTTTAACAATACACTGTGATCAGAGCAAAGAAAGTTCAGAAGAAAACTGATGACTGACTCTGACTCACACTCTGATCCTGTGTCTGTGTTTTTCCATGCTCTTCCCCTCACCTGTTCAGCTGTTCATGTTTTTGGTGTGAGTCAGATGTTTGAGGGAGTTTTGGGAAAATCTGTGGTGTGAGTGGAATTCGTTGGAATATGATAAGCTGGAAAAACCACAGTTCAGTCCGACGTCACAAATACATGTTGTTGTGCCGCTGTGGCTCCGCCCATATCAGCCTGTTTGTGATAAATATAAATCATTCTCATCATAGACAATGACTTTGACTAAATCTCTGTCTTTTTTTATTTACCTGTTTCCTATCAAAAGTTAAATAACTTTCCTCCCAACAAACCAGTTTATCTTCTCTGTGTGCAGACTGTGAGTGCAGCGCAGCCGGGACTGTGGATAACTCCTGCAGGCCGGATCCTCGAACTCAGACCTGCGTCTGTAAACAAGGTTTCACTGGTGACCACTGCGACACCTGCGCTCCGGGTTTCTACGGACTCAACTGTCAGGGTGAGAGATGGTCGCATGGATAGAGAAATGTAGTAGGGCTGCAGCTAACGATTGTTATCATTAATTCTCTGGTCCATACGACATCAGAAATCACTGAAAAATATCCTACACTATAGGGTGTTTTGTCCGACCAGCCATCCAAAACCCAAAGTTATTAATCTAACTTTAATTTAGCAATGAATTCGAGTCACTCGTCCATGAGTAGATGCACACGTCCTTCTGCGCAGTGATACGGTGTTGTTCAGTAGAAGGAAAATAGTTCCGACATGAAACTGCTCACAACAAGGTCTGTGGATTATCTTGAGTAACCGGGTCATGATTTCTGGAAAGAGACATTGCTGTTGAGTTTTCCAAATGTATGTTTTTTGGCGCTTTGAGCACCACAAGCTGAGTGCCATCTAGTTCTATTATACTGGAGAGAAGGCAGACATCTGTACGGTCAATATCTCCAACCCTCAACAACTCACACTTAAACAATCTGGACTGATAAATGACGCTATAGGTAAGAGGAAAAACACCTCCTCACTCTCCTGAGTCCCTAACGACACTGAACAACATCTGTTTTAATGACTTTGCTTTGCGTAATCGGGAGCTAATGAAGGATGAAACTTCAGATGATGATCTCTCCGTCTCTCAAAGCCATGAAGTCAGAATGATTGGGTTTTAACTGAGGAGTGTTTAAACAGGGTTAAACCAGGTTTTTACAGTTAAGTTTAATGGATCAGGCCACATTTGTTCCACTCACATGCACAGACACAGAAATACTAAAACACAAACAAAGGTAGGGATTCCAGACGCTTTATTTATCTGCTTGTTTATTTATCCTGTGTTGGTTTACCACCCAGGAGCAGCCTCACACACACACACACACACACACACACACACACACACACACACACACACACACACACAAACCCCTGAATAAACAGCATTCCACTAAGCTGTGTTAATCAGTGTAAATAGTTTGACACATTTCCTCCAGTGAGTAAAGTTGGTAAACTCACAGACAGTCAGCTCTAAATAAACACGTGTTATTTATCAGTCTGTGTTGGTGCTGTTTTATTTATCTCACTCTGTGTGTGTGTCTGCAGCCTGTCAGTGTGCAGGTCCCGGCTGTCTGGACGGGTCATGTGACTTGGTGACAGGTCACAGCGTGTGCCGGATTGGTTTCCAAGGTGCCCAGTGCGACCAGTGTGCACCAGGATACTTCAACTACCCGCTCTGTCAACGTGAGTCATCGTCTGTGGCTGCAACCAGTCAGGACAACTTCAGGCACTCGTGCATGGAGCCAGAACAAATACAGTTAAATTACTTAATTTAAATGCATTTGTCTCTGCTCCATGCATAAGTGCCTGAAGTTTATTTTCTCCTCTCATGTGCTGATCCTTTTCTTTGAGAGCACTTGTGCTTTTTCTTGAGTTTTCATATGATAAATCATTCCTCAAGTACACCACTACCTCCTTCTCTTTTTTGTTGTTTTGTTTTCTAGAGGAAGCTTTGTGACAGGTGTGAAAATACGGAGAAATTAGGTAGCGAGGCTGAGCTGTAGCACAGTTGTAGATGTAACAGTCTTCCATAGTTGAAGTCAAGACTCAATGCACGAAGCTATACAACAGTATTTCCAGTGTGTAAGCAGAGGCCCTTGGTGCCTGTGAACCACAGACTGTGTAAAAGAAGCAGACGGGTCTGTGAAGTGTAGTCTGAGTGGGCGGAAGTTTGCTGCATAGATCAGCCTCTCATTGGGCGGAACGAGGCACCCGTTGAAGTCGCGCCCTACCACCTCCGGTTGTGTAGCAGTTTTCAACCGTTTTCAACACGTCCTTTACTAACTTTTGCGGTGTTTGATCTTGCGGGGATGTAGCCATTTTTCTGCCATAGTTCGTGTCCTGTAGGCGATATTTTTGTGGGCGTGTTACACCAAAACCTGTTTCCCCCCGGCAATATTTTTGCAAGCACACCGTTGCTGTGGCACCGCCCAGAACAATTGTGATTGGATGAAAGAAATACAAGCAGCCGGGGCGTTTTTTTCTCCAATCTTAAAGTGAGAGTCGGCCCAGCCAGACCTTTCTTTTCTTGAGAAAGGTCTGGTGAGCGAGACTAGTGAAGTGAAGCCTTAAACCTGCATTCCTTCTAATGACCAGCAGGGGGGAAAAGAATCTGATTGAGTTAGGAAATGGACCTATTTCTCACTTGATTTATTACCTCAGTAAACATTTTCTCATATGTTTATGGTCTCAAACTTAAGTTTAAGTCTGCAATATAGCATGACATTCACCTTGAAAATTATGGTCCCATTTACATGAACATAAATGTCAAATCAGGGGTGTGCTTTAGGGCGTGGCTGCCTTGGGATCGACAAGTCGCTGCCACAGAGACCTGTTAATCAGGATAGATGTACAGTATTGTGTATCCATGGCACTGTGTACATTTAAATAGCTTCAGACGTGTTTTCGTCTTAAAACTTTGACCCTTTCATTGTGTCTTTTTAGCAGCGACTGCACACGGTGTAGCCAGGAAACAGGTGCCGTCAGGTTGCCAGTATCGTTGGACGTGCATAGTGTCCTCAGGTTCTAGGTCAGACCCACCCCTTGCTCCTTCTAGGTTTTGCCCTTTTATTCAACCATGGTCTCTTTCGGCTCCAAAAAACCAAGATGGCGACGCCAGAACACCAAACTCGAGGCTTCAAAATCGTAGTCCCCAAACGAATGAGAGACGTCACAGTGACAGCGTCTACTTCTTTTATACAATTTGTGGTATGAACCCAGGCAAATGATTACAAGCACCTCCTGCCCACCCCAGAGTGTAAAATACCAAGAACATTATTAGTACCAGGTGTAAATACAAAGGTCAGTGATTGGATGCTGATATCCAGATACAGGTGGAAATGTGTCTCCTATTCAAAATAAAGACACTAAAAAAACAGACCATCTTTAATAAAAAGTGACTGAATGTATAACTAAATTCTTTGTCCATTAAAATCACAAAGACTTTCTGTCTGTCTCCGTCTCTGTCCTCAGTGTGCGGCTGCAGCACAGTCGGCTCTCTGCCTGAAGGCTGCGATGCGTCCGGTCGTTGTCTGTGTAAACCAGAGTTTCAGGGTCCTCGATGTGAACAGTGCAGATCTGGATTCCACTCGTACCCCAACTGTCAAGGTACACACACACACACACACACACACACACACACACACAGAAACCTGAACGGAAAGTGATTAAATGCACCTGTTTCTGCTGCGTACTGTAATGAAAAGACAGAATATGATATCGTGTTGGACTGAACACATGGAAACACTTAACTTTACACACCTTCTTATGAAGTGTTATATTGCCTCGTTAAATTTTATGACGCTTTATTTGGATTCCACCTTTTCAGGGTAAAAGAATAAATCTAACGGCAGAAATGGACAAAATGTTGAAGCTACATTGGCACAGTTATTAGGAAAGGATACTCTAAGATATGCAACAAAGGTAGTTAGAGAGCTGGAGTTGAGTTAGAGATTTTAGAGAGTTTTAGGATTCGTAGAGAGAATTATTATTATGTACCGACTTGTACTTCTTACCTTTAAATAATTCTTTAACTTAATGTTTTATCAGTTTGTATTTTTCCTGTAACACCATGTGTCACCTCTTGTTTTCTCAGTGTGCACTTGTGATCCTCGCACCTCATTGGACACCAGCTGCACAGCGTCGGGTCACTGCCACTGCCGGCCTAATTACAGCGGAGCGTCGTGTGACCAGTGTGCTCCTGGTTACTATGGTTACCCAAGCTGCACACGTAAGTCACCGAACTTTTAATGACGCCCTAAACTCCTCTGCGTATATTTGATCAGTCACAGTGTAGGAAAGAAAGTAATAGAAACACCTAAACATTGTTTTGTCTTTTGAAACTGGTGCGTGATGCTTTCTGGCTTTTATATAAATCAATCAATATACAGATCATCAGTCATTAGATGAGACAGATGATTAATCAGAGTGTGTGTTGCAGCTTGCCAGTGTTCTGCAGAGGGCTCCCGCTACACCAGCTGCGACCAGGCGACGGGACAGTGTGTGTGTCTGCCCAACGTGGTGGGACTGAGGTGTGACAGCTGTGCACACGGCGCCTACGGCTTCCCCAACTGCCAAGGTAATAACAACACACACACACACACACACACAGGTTCTCTTGTCTGCTTCACTTAATAGAAGTGAGGTGTGACAGCTGCAGTCAGTGCGACCTACAGCTAATCACACGCACACACACACACACACACACACACACAGGTCATGAGTAAGAGTGCAAGCCTGTTTAGAGGGCAGAACAGCTGTTAAAAGCAGAAATAATGTCTCATGTTGATTCTGCACTCACACAATGTCGACAGAATGAGAAAACCTCCTGTTATTCTGACTTGTGAGTGTTACTGCATCATTTCAGGTAAATCTATCTGAACTTACAGTGGATATTTCTGATACACACGAGTTTGCTTTAAAGGTCCAGCGTGGAGGATTTAGAGGGATATATTGGCAGAAATGGAATATAACAAGTATGTTTTATTTATTGTATAATCATCTGAAAAAAAGTTAAGAATGAGACGTTTATATAACTACATAGGGAGCGGGTCCTCATCTACGGAGATCACCATGTTGCACTGTGATGTTTCTACAGTAGCCCAGAATGGACAACCCAAACACTGGTACTCGATAGGGCCGTAAGCGTTTTTGCATTTCTGCGTTTTGCATTGGCCACTGGAGTTCGAACCCCCTCTGCCTCAAGAGTGTTGGAAAAAAATTGATTTTTTAAATGTGAAACTACTTTATTCAGTGTTTATACCAGTTTAAATCATCTGGTCGGTTTGTTTTGGAGAGGAAGAGACCTCTGTGGATAATTCAGCTCCTGGTAAAAACCTCCTGAACAATGAACACCGAAGGAATTCTAACCAGGAGAAATTTCACCTGGTTGCAATTTGCAGTCTTCACCACTAGATGCCACTAAATCCTCCTGAATCTTACACACTGGACCTTTAAATACTCTCCCAGTGGCTGCATTTTTGTGTCAAAATCTACAACCCACTGTATCTATAATATTTGTTTCCTTCTCTGTCATTTAAAGCTGGAACCTGTCACCCTGCCGGCTCCGTTCAGTATGTGGTGCCGCCACCAGTGGTGAGTTTCTGTGTGTTTATTTGTTTGAGTTTTGCTCATGTTGTAAGTTAATTTAACAGATGATATTTAAGGTTAACTGTGACACAAGAATAGTTCCAACTAAGAGAGCTGAGACAACAGGCAATTCAAATATTTTGGGGTATAGCTAAAGACATATACAGTATATTTACATTAAAACCTCATTATGTTTCCTTGATGCTTTCTGTGGTTTCTCCATACAGTAAGAGCAGGTGTTAATATAGGACTGTAAGTCAAACTTGTGTTTTAAGTGTAAATGCTGCACATACACACAGTGACACCGGCAGTAGAAACAGACTTAACATTTCATTTCCTGTCAATCATCCTCTCAGGGCCAGTGTGAGTGTCGTTACCATGTGGAGGGCCCCGCTTGTGACAGGTGTAAACCTCTGTACTGGAACCTCTCCCCTGACACTCCTGATGGATGCACCAGTAAGAGATATGAGACACACATCACACATATGTGTTTGAATGCAGTCATGGAGCTCATAAAGAACTGAACTCTCTGTGTTTGCTTTATCTGCAGACTGTGAGTGTAACATCGCAGGTACTATCAGTGGGGTCGCAGAGTGTGCACAGGTGAGTTCTTCCCTTTAAAATAACCTCCAGTCTATATTTAGACTTTTAAAAATACATTTATACTGAATATTATGACTGTATCTTACTATATAATGACGAAAACTCTGTCTGTGTCTATGTTCCACGTTTTTCTCCTCACTGACTTGGTCAATCCATGTGAAATTTGGCACAGTCGTAGAGGGTCATGGGAGGATGCCATTGAAGCAATATTACATCAATTGGCCAAAGGGGGGCGCTATAGCAACGGATTGAAATGTCAAACTTTGAATGGGCATATCTCATGCCCCGTATGTGGTAGAGACATGAAACTTTGCACAGAGATGCCTCTCCTCATGAGGAACACATTTGCCTCAAGAACCCATAACTTCCGCTTATATAGATTTTCCACCATTTTGAATTTTTTGAAAAACACTTCAAATGGATCTCTTCCTAGGAAGTTTGAGCGATCTGCATGAAACTGAGTGAACATAATCTAGGGACCAATATCTAAAGTTCCCTCTTGGCAAAAGTTGGAAAACTTACTAAAACTGAGCTTCTATAAGGCAATGAATATTGCGGAGGGCGTGGCTCATCACATAAAGGTGTATAACATCTCAAGGGTTTCACCCATCACCACGCAACTTTGTAGGCATATGACCACACATAATCTGAGGGGACCCCTCCATTATTGACCCCATCAAACAAAATGTGGGCGCTAGAGAGCTCATTTCTTATCTAGGCCTATCCGCCATATGGATTTTTACTAAACTTGGTAGATATGTAGAACAGGATGCCTCAAGGTGACTGGAGAAATTTAACTCTAATTGGCAACTGGGTGGCGCTATAACAACAGAAAAATGCTTCAAAATGGCTAAAATGCGACCGATTGCTGTGGCTCCCCCTGTGGACCAATGTTGGTGTTGTTTTCTAATGTTTGGTATGACTAAGTCATGGTATGGTATGCTGTACATAATCACGGAAACTGTCAGTGTGTCATTCTGTCAGTCAGTCATTCTGTCTGTCCCACGTTTTTCTACTCACTGACGTGGTCAATCTATGTGAAACTGCACATAGGCATTGAGGACTGGCATAGGTAGAAGGTGACAAAGCTACCAATGGGTATGGACTAGTTCATTATAATTATGCATTGATGCAATTAGCACGTGAGTAATTGCACTCAAAGACAGAAAGTCATTCTAATGTAGAAAACTAGATTAAATACTTTGTGGATGATACGACACATGTGAGGCAGAGGTTTCATTCACCAAATCGCTCTCTGTCACTGACTTGATGATGGTTTTTGTCCCTTTGTTAAATAGACAATCAGTACTACTTAATAGAAGTCCTGTAAGCTCAGTCTCCACACGTCCTGTTAACCTACTTCTTGTGTCTGACAGGAAACTGGTCAGTGTCACTGTAAGCCCAACGCCTGCAGTGGAACCTGCTCCACCTGTAAAGACGGTTACTACAACCTGCAGGAGCAAAACTACTTCGGCTGCCAGGGTGAGTGTTTGATAACACTTTTAAATTGTTGGTTTCCTCTTAAAACAAAAGCTTGAGTGTTGCAGTGCTGCCATCTTATATTTACATGTGTATGTGTCATGTATTTAGGATGCCAGTGTGACATTGGAGGTTCAGCAGGTCAGTCGTGTGGAGAGAGAAACGGCCGCTGTCGCTGCAGACCCAACGTGGAGGGGCCGAAGTGTAATCTGTGAGTTTAACAAGTGATAGAGATTTAAAGTGGTGTGTGTTGTACTTGTGAATGTCAGTTGGTAGTTTTGAAATTAACTGTGGTGATATTTGGTTTGATCGCAGTGAGCAGTAGCAGCAGGATGATTAGTGGCTTTCATTTTCATTTTCACACCGATCAAACTGGTAGTGAATCTCAATATAAACATGTCAGACCTGCTTGTCTCATGAGCTCTGTCACTGTGTCTGCAGACCTCGTCCAGATCATTACTTCCCAGACCTCCATCATCTCAAGTTCGAGATCGAGGAGGGAACCATGCTGGACGGCCGACCGGTGCGGTTCGGCTACAACCCTCTGGAGTTCCCGGGCTTCAGCTGGAGAGGTTACGCTCAGATGTCCCCCATCCAGGTAGGAGCGTTCTCTTTAAACTCTACCATCTGTCCATGCATGTGACAATATCTTGCACCGATGGATTCAAAAGAAAGATCCAGCATTTTTTATGATAAATTATGGTAGAAGTTATGATAAATATTGTATTGATATTACATTGGTAGACTCTAATTTATAGACTTGAAATATCTGATACTTCAGATCATTGTATTTCTTGCCGTCTCACGTTTCTCTTGTAAGACATAAACTACAGTAAAATATATAAAATGTATTTTATGTGCTTTTTTTTAATGAATTATGTGTATTATGCATTACATATCATTGTGACTGTGGCCCGTCATTTCCGCTCCTCCTGCACTAACCAGACAGTTTGCTCCATGGCTGAATGTCATGTGGACATTTAAAGGGATATTTCTCTTTGGTAGAATTACTTCTCAGCACATATATTGTACCTCTGACACACTAAAGATTTTACGTACTACTTTGTTTATAGAACTTATGTTAAACTTGTATTCTTAGTCTCAATATGCAGCTTAAATTTTAAGCTTTTTACATAATTAATTTGCCCGTTTTTAAATTATATTAAGACACTAACAAAGCATTAAGGGATTCTTTTGGAAAGATATTTTTGGATCGGTGTTTGAGCTGAAAAGTGGAAATCCAAAGAGAAATATTTTGGGATGTATTTGGGGGTAAAAGTGTTGGTGATGGTATTAAAGACTTGCTTTTGGCTTGGTTTCTCTTCCTGTGTTGGTGTTTTCCACATTCTCCCTCCGTCATGTATCCTTTATCTCTGCTCTCCTCTTCTATTCACGCTTCTCTTTCCTACACCCTCTCCTTTTCTTGCGTCCACCTCTCCTACCTTCCTCTTCCTCCTGTGTTTCCCTATACCTCCTCCTGTTGTCTCTCCGCCTGCTGCCTTGCTCGCTGGTCCTGTGGCAGTCCAAAGTGTTGGTGTCGGTGTCAGTCAGCTCTCCGGACCTCTTTCGCGTGGTGCTACGCTACGCCAACTGGGGGGGTTCGGATGTCCGGGGCAGGGTGTCGGTCATAGAGGACGGCTGGAGCTACTACTGTGGTAACTGTGAGTGCTGGGAGGGGACAAGAAAGAGACAGCAGCACCACTGTCTTTTCATGTACTTCCTCTGTCCTTTCTCGTTCACTCCATCCCTCGATCCAGAGGCAGTGCAGTAAATGGTGGTTTGAGAGCTGCACGTCTTCACCTCTTGTCTGTTTACTCTTGATTTTCATGCTTTGCTCAGGCTTTCAGCTGTGTTCCAAAGATACAAATCATAAATTCAGATTTCAAGTCAGTCAGACCTTCCGCTGGAATCATCGTCATCATGGGGTAAATGTTAAACATTCAAATTTGCAGAGGTGGGACCAAGTCATTGTTTTGCAAGTCACAAGTGTCAAGTTTTTACACTTGAGCCCCAAGTCGAGACTGACAAGTTCCAAGTGAAGTCTCTGATCTTAAATTTTATGTTTTGAGCTGTAACGCACTGTAATGCCATTAGAGGTAATCTTACAAAAATCATGAATGCTTTTTAAAATATGTATGAATTTGTAAAAACAAGTTTGGTGGAAGTTTTTTGTGATCAAATTTTTATTTTATTTTAAAGAAAGATATAGATAGGTATATGGACGTTAGAAAAATAGAGCATAAAATATATATTGACATACACACCTATACATATGCATATATAAAGATACATATGAGTAAACCACTAAAATAAAATAATAAAAATAAATAAATAAATAA